TGTATAGTTTCCATCGGGGATGGATATACATTCCATAGTTAATGGGAAACATATGTTCTTGTGGTAAGGTATGTGTTACTATGGTGATGCAGTTTTTTCTTGGTCAGTGGTATAAAGACTGAGACCCTTTGTTCAAAAAGTAGGAAGAGATGGTAACGATGCAGAATGAAGACCTCTGTTTCTCTTCCTCCTATGTCTTATAAATATTATAAATAAATTCGAGAGATCTCTTGGCAAAATCACTGGTGTCTCTTTTCATGGGGAAAGTAAAAGAAGTTTTTTAGATCTACAGTTCTTTACAATTTATTTATTTATTTTTAAATCGAATTTTTAATGAGAAAAGTTGCAGAGATTTTTCTCCCCAAATCATTGCTCATAATATAAGCATGTTCACAGTTGTTTTGTTGTTGATGTTGTTTTTTTGCTGTTGTAGTGTCTGGACACACACTAATTATTCATTATATGTAATGGATAATCCAGCAAACTCACTCTCCCAAGAAAGGTCTGTGAAACTTCCCTCCCCAAAAACTCACTCTCACAACAAAGTTCTATGGAACTTCCCCCACAAATCAAGCCAACACTGGCAGAACCCATTGTCCTGTTACAGGACACTTTAAAGGGTTAGTTCACCCAAAATTGAAAATTAAGTCATTAATTACTCACCCCCATGCTGTACCAACCCCGTAAGACCTTCGTTCGTCTTCGGAACACAAATGAAGATATTTTTGATTAAATTTGAGAGGTGGATCACTGCTACATAGGCTGCCTAAGGGATCAAAACTTGACGGCCCAGAAAGTCAATGAAGAAAATGTTTAAATATTATATTCAATCCAGTTTTAAAATTGTACATAGCACTGAAACAGCCCTTCTGAGAGTGTTAAATGACATTTATTTGGCAACTGACACAGGTAGCTCTGTGGTCCTTGTTCTTTTAGGTCTTTCATCTGCTTTTGACACCGTTAATCATTCGGTTTTAATTAATAGACTGAAATCTTGGGTGGGTCTCTCCGGTACAGTGCTAAAATGGTTCCAGTCATTTTTTATCTGATAGGAAATTTGTGGTTAGGACAGGTGAATTTTTATTTTCTCCTGCTCCACTCCCATGTGGCCTTCCTCAAGGCTTGATTTCAGCCCCCTCTCTATTTTCTTAATATATGCTCCCTCTGGGGTCTATTTTTAGAAAACATGGGGTGTCATATCATCTTTACGCCGATGATACCCAAATCTATTTACCTCTCAGGAAAAATTATCGGTTGGCCATGTCTGCTCTCTCCTCTTGTCTAGATGAGGTTAAATCCTGGTTATCTCATTTTTTTTTTTATCCTTAAATAATAATAAAACTGAAGTAATTGTTTTTGGCCCTTCTGAAAATTCGACTACATTTAACTTTGACCTGGGGCCACAATCGGCTTTTAGGTCCTCGCAGGCACGGAATCTGGGTGTTATCCCGGATGACTCTTTAAAATTCGATAAACAAATTTCTTTAGTAATTGGGTCCAGTTTTCATCAGCCATCAGCTCCGTCTACTTTCAAAAATTAAACATTTCCTTAATGATAAGACCTTGGAAATGGCAGTGCATGCGTTTATTACGTCTCGTCTTGAATACTGCAATTCGTTATACTGTGGCATTTCTAAGGCCCAAATTGCCCGTCTCCAGTTAGTGCAAAATGCTGCCTCAAGATTTCTTTTGAAAAAGAAGAAAAGGGATCACGTCACTCCACTATTAAAGACCCTTCATTGGTTGCCAGTGCAATTTAGAATTCATTTTAAAATTCTTCTATTTGTTTTTAAATCTTTGCACTTTCAAGCACCTGGCTACCTTTCTGACCTGCTGTATCAGTATATCCCCACTAGAAGCTTAAGATCTGGAGATCAGAATCTTCTTCTAATTCCACATTCGAGACTTAAACGCAGAGGTGACCGTGCCTTTTCAGTAATCGGTCCGCGCCTCTGGAATGAGCTGCCAGTGGAAATTCGATTGGCTCCGATTTTGTCCATTTTCAAGTCTCTTTTAAAAACCCATTTGTTTTCTCTGGCATATTAGGCATTTTAGGATTGTTTATTGCTCTCTGGAAATCTGATGGAACAGACACTGCCTGCTTGAGAGTGGACTGAGTTCACTTGATATTTTAATTTTTACAGGGTGGCTACAGGTATAAACAATTTAAATTTAAGACATTTTAATATAACTTCTAAATTAAAAAACTGAAAATATACAGTAATATTTCCAAGTAAACACACTGTCTGTTCAAAAATATGGTGAAATGACAATACAATTGTCAATTGCGTACGTGCGGTCGCCTGTGGTGGAGTACAGTGGAGCGAAAAAGAAATATAGAAGAAATTTTTATAAATGTCTTAAGCCTTGTATGTTTTAAATAATAAAGTATATTAATAAAGGCTTAGATTTAATTTACTAATACAGGCTAGAACCAGTTTATTTATAGTGTACTGATAATAGTTTCATATAATTAGTTTGTTAATTAAACAAATAAAAAGATTTTAAAAAAGACTGAGATATGTTTGGTTATTGTACCCTTTTAATTAATAAATAACAATTAATTTGCTATATTTCAGATCAATATATTTATTTTCCTTAATTTTAATTAACCCTATTTATTCTCATCATAAGAATGATAAATAATTGATTTCCAAATAAAGGAATACTACAAACACTTAAAAATAAACAGATTAGTGCCCTGTTTTGAGGACAAGAAATGAAAACCAATGCGATATGATGAATGTTCAAAAGATGGAACTCTGTAACGGCCACCTAGTGTTCAGAAGTGTTCATGACATGTTCGTTATTGTATGTGTGATGTTGTTATGTGAGCAGTGAAAGTGAGAATGCTTGCGCAAAGAGGAAGGTGACTGATCTATCGTGGGTTTGTTTTATTATAATGCGTTTACTTCCACTTCGATTTGTAGCGTTTTACAGAGTGTTTTCTTTAACCTGTTAACATCCGCTCTTTCGACATATGAAGAGTGTGCTTAACTTGAAAGAAAGCAACTATAAAATGACTCGTGGAACTACAGTACCAGTTCGTTTGCACTGTCTTTCTTATTCTTCATCTGGGCAGACCTCAAACTCTGACAGAACACACAGACAGGGGTTGGAATTGGATAAATATGTTTTGCTTTTAAGACTGTGTTTTAATGCGAGTATAGGCTTACACAAATATAAGTAAACACTTTGCAGACTGAATGTTGTCCTGTATGAACAAAATGACGGATGTTTTTCATGACTCCACTGTTTGATCGCACCCGTGTGTCTCACACACAGATTACGTTACCTTGTAGAAAATATTCGACCTGGCTGTCAGAACGATTGCCTTTGCCTGCATCTTTGCGGTGACATGACAAACATATTTAAGACCTATCCAATCTGAATTTAAGACAATTTAATACTTTTTAAGGCCTTATTTTTAGGAAAATTGATTTAAGACTTTTTAATACTTTTTAATGACCCGCGGCCACCCTGTAAATTATCATAATCTAATCATCTTAACCTTTCCAACTCAGCAATTGTCATTATTGAAATGGGCACATCATATCCAAGAAAGTGTCAAATGTGTTCAGTCTCAATTATAGATAACGGCAAGTTACAACCAATTATCAAGTCATTGATGATTGCTTGACTGATGCTCTTTGACGACTTGAGTCAGGACTGTAATGCTGCTGAGCAGTGCAAAATGATGATTCTATACTTTGTGGTGCACTTCTGTTAGAATGACTTAATTTTCATTTTTGGGTGAACTAACCCTTTAAGACTAATTTTACGAGTTTACGACCCCCAAAAAAAGGAATGTGCAAAGGGCTGTGTCTGTGACACTCTTCTAATTCTTGCGGAGGAGGAGAAATTAACCCTTTTAACCCTCCATATTCTATATACAACCATGTGATAAATGTATTTACATGCATCTAATTCTCCGTCTCATAATTTTCCTTTTATGTGGTTTGGCCTATGTCTTCATTTTCTCTTCTAAACTATTTTGGTCTGGGATGTGACTTGCACACTATGGTTAACCAAAATAATACATGCATCTTCACATATCTTCGTCCCCCATTTGTTAATTTACATTTTGCTAACTTCATGACGCATTAGTATTATAAGAATCTTGTAGATTCTTTTCGTAAACACCCAATGAAATTCAAACATTCAAATGAACTGCTAGAACTCAAAGGGTCGTAAAAACTCGTATTGCTTCGTATTGGCTCACGCCCCTCCAGAGGGTGTGACATTTTCCCGCTTTAAAAATCACTGATCACAAGATTTGCTCTCATCCTCTTAGCTCTCTTACTCTCTTGGTCCTTCCTGAGAAGTCCTAATGTGAAGATGATGCTGAACTAGAAGTCCCTCAAGGCCCCCAAGCTTGCGTCAGGCTGCGGCCTTGTCTTTCCATTCACCAAAGATCCTCTGACTCCCACTGGTTCTCTCATCAAGACCACCAAAGATCAACTGGAGCCTTGCTTCAGGATAGTTCAATTAAAATGGGCAAGACATGAAAGTATTAAACTTAGTCTCATTATTTGATACATTAAGTATCCTTACCTTTTTAAGAAAGGCGTGTTAGAACTGAACTGAAGGTTTGCTCAAGGCTGTTGATCTGATGAACTCCAAACAAACTCCAACTTCTTACTTTCCTGTATTCTGCTTAAGCTCTCTGAATGCATTTATGTATGTGTATGTTAGAGTGTGAAAACTGTATGCATTTATGTAAGTGTATGTTAGAGTAGACCATGTAAGTCAAATTTACTCCCTCCAAAATGGTCCAAAATACCGGCTGCCAGTAGCCTAACACTGGCACAGGTCTCTCTCCTTGTGCAAGTCTTTTTGATCTTGAAAAAAAGCTGATGATGAAAAAATTGTAGTGGCTATCTGTTGCTTTTGGTGACGAGAACTTTAGGAAGACATTATGTGGCCAAGTGAAAACAAAACCGTTTTAACAAATCACACAACACAAAAACACATTAAGTGTAAATAGGCCTCATATTTACCTCAGAGAGGTTTTCCTTACACAGGGGACAATTAGGGTTGTGGTCCAAGCAGCGCTCCAAACACTTGAGGCAGAAAGTATGTCCACAGGGTGTGGTGACAGGCTCATAAAACAGTCTGCAATGAGTGAGGAGGGTTTAGATGTATATAAAATTAAGAATTATTTTCAAGAAAAAATGTATTATTACCTCATGCAGAGAGAACATTCAAAGTCTGCACTGTCCAAAAGCTGCGATGAAACTTGCCTTTCCCAAGAAAAAGTAGGGAGAGTTTTGGATGAATTCACCATGTCTGGGAATGAAGAAAATGGAGAAAAAAACAAAAGAAAAACAAGGTTTGCACCATCGGCCACAGAGATCTTGGCGCTAAGTACAAAATTCTTTACTTCACAATATTTGTTCAAAGTAATTTTTTTCAGTGGAACAATTCAAGGATTTAAGCCCCATACCTTCTTTGAGCTGTTTGTTGGGTGGCTCAAAGTCCTTAGCATTTTCTGTCCATTTCCTTTTTAGGACGGGTGGAACAAAAAGTGAAGAGAGGCCAACAGAGTTTACATTTTCAGATCTTTGCAAAATATAAGATTTCCCATCTTTGAAATTACTGCAACCGAGTGTTTGTTCCTAAGGGAAAAAAAAGAATGGTTTTACCATTGATGATGAAGTGGTCCTATACTATGATTCTAAAAATGCCTTGAAAAGCAAAATTGGTTTTATAAACATTCGGGCCCAGTTTCACAGACAGGGCTTAAACTAAGCCAGGATTAGGCCTTAGTTCAATTAGGGTATTTAAGTAACTTTAATAAATGTAGGCCTACCACAAAAAAAAAAAAAAAAAAAAAAAAAAGATTTTAAGATTTGTCAGTGCAAGTTGCTTTAAGTTAAAACAGCTCAAACATGCATTTTAGTCTAGGACTAGCTTAAGCCTTGTCTGTGAAACCGGGGGTCATCAGTGTGATATCTTCATTATAGCAAATTGTTGAAATCAATTGCATCTGTGAACACAAATCCAGTAACCTTGGAGCAGCCTGCTTTGGCTCCATCTCTTTGAAGAGAGGAGTGAAGCGAACTGTGAAGGGATGAGGGTTTGATACGATGGGATGGGCCCGCTGGCAGGGGTTGTAGGAACATAGCCAGACCCTCATTCACAAAGACTGAAGAGAACATGTGACTCAGGATCTGCAGATACACAGATACAGTTGTACAACAATAATGTTGGCATGGACATGCAAAACATCAGATTGCAGTCACCTAACACTGAAAACTTATTAAATTAAAGAAACTAAGCACTTAAATAGCACTGCATGATTAATCGTTTCTAAACCGAAATTGCGATTTTCTAATGGTTGCGATTATTAACAAAGACAGTTTGCTATTAAATGTGTGGTTTCATTTATTTTAGTGTTCGAGGATAAGTTTGTAATTTAGTCTTTCTTTGATGCTGTGCAAACCACCACAACAAACCTGTAGCTCTTTTTAAAAACAAATTGCCTTTTAACTCAATTTTGATAAGAAAAAAAATAAAAATAAAATAATAATAATTCGTAATTAGATTTTTTCTAAATCGTTCAACAATAGGAGCTTTGAGCTTTGCTGTCGTTCGAAAAAGACTGTGTTCTTCTTCACCCTTGTTCATTTCATCCACATTTAATTGAGTAATAGTGTCGTGCCAGAGAGATTGTTGGTGTTTAGTGAAACCGTGAGCGTGTATTTGTTGATTGTAATCTTACTTCTGATATTCTCTTTTATCTGACAATTGCCTGATTTCCGAGACTTTGTAAATAAGTGTGTAAATACTCTTATAAATACATTTTGCCAGATTAAGGGATGTAGGGGGTTTGACGGCAATGTATTTGTACCTCTTTTTAACCTTGTTTATGGAAAAGGGAGTTAGGCAAGTTAAACTTTATTTTTGTTTTCTTTATCTTTCGTTTGAGGTCATTTAGGTTCCAAAATAATATTGTTTTGCATGTTACTTTGGCCTTGTCTGCCCCTGATGCTAACCCTTTATTGCAAATAAAGCTCCTGTTATTTGTCATCTTTCTGGTATTGTGACTCTCTCTTTTTTTCTTGTTGCGGCTGACCCTAGCGGTCGTAACAATGCAATTACACAAAGATTAACCCTTGTGCTGCATTAGATTTTTAACACCGTTGAGTGCATTAAGGACCAAAAATGGCCACATATTATAACATTGCCTAAAATATTATATATTATTATTATTTTCCACTTTTACCAAGTTAAATCTTTTAACCAGCATCAGTCCTCATCATAACTACCAAAAATGTATTAAATTTCAGGATTTTAACCCTTTAATTACCAGTTTTGTTTGCGAAACCATCGATTTGTATAAGAGGAAAAAACACAAAAATTCAATTATTTTCAATAAACTAAATGCAAAGAGAAAACTTTAGATTTGGATTATCACAGTCCCACTTTGCAAAAAATCCCACTTAGCGCGTTAGAGACCAAAAATGGCCACCTATTAAACATTGCCTATTGCCTAAAATAAGGTGCATTTCCACCCATAGGGAATAAATATGTAGTGACGTCATCTGGTGGAATACACTATATAATGCAAATATAATGCTTTTGCTTCAAAATGAAAGGATGTTTGTGCAAAAATCATGTTTCATGTATTACTGACAGCCTCAGATTTAAACAACGTTTTAATGGGTTTCAATGGGCCATTTTTGGTCTTTATGGTGCTGAGTGTTACTATTTGATCTACACATTGTGTGTTATACATATTTTGCAAAATGGGATCACATTTTTTACATGTATCCAAAAAGTCACAATTTTGCCAAATTTCATACCATTTGCATTAAAACAGCCAAAATGGTCAAAGAAATTAAACTACAAAAGACCAAAAATGTCCCTAATGCAGCATAAGGGTTAAATGTACCTTCTGAGCCTCCAGTTTTACAGTGATCCAGTCAGATTTCAAAGCCACACAGAAGAAATACTCTTGTAAAGCCTCTTCACTGCGGCCGGCACCCTTGAACGCTGTTGCCTTAATGTAGTGAGCCTGTTAAGAGAAAACATGGTAAATAAAAGTAACTAAAGCCCAACAACACAAAACCACAATTTTTAAAATACACTGCAAGCAGCTGGGATGGGCACAAGAACTATGGCGCCTATGCAACCTGCTGGCTTTAAGAAAACCATGCACAGAAGGCACATGTATTTAACTCTCTGGTAGTCTTTGGTTGCTAGACACCGAACAAAATTACATTTTTAAATATTAATTTTATTTATTTATTTGACTTCATCAGAAGTACAAAACTTGGTGTAGAAGCTTCATATATATTATACACCCCCCCTCGCCCCAAACATTTTCTCATCGAATCTACACGATTCACGTAGGTCACCTATTTTGGTTCCAAAACGGCGAATTTCGCCGAAAGGTGAGTGATTTTCATGTCTGAAAGCAACAAATCATGTGATCAAAGTGATCATAACCTATGACAAGAAAATCTATTATAAACTAGATTAGTGGGTAACTCAGCAGTAAAATTTAGTCTAAAAAAATCACAAGTGCACAATAACTGAATAAAATCTGAAAATTTAGTGAAAAAAAAAACATTATTTAGTGTTATGATTTAGTGTTATATAAATTGTAGCTAAATGTCTAGTGTCCTTGTCTTTCTTTAACTTTCTTTTTGCAAAACCACTCAATTGACGTCTGTCCATTTTTGATTTAGATTCATTTTCTGCCGTTAAAAAAAAAAAAAAAGACACATTTGTGCGTACTTGTTGTGGACCAACTCAACTCTGACAGACTGGGGAGAGGGGAGTGATAGTGGTCATGTAATCTTTATTTATTTATAATTAGGGGTTCAAGCACAAAGTGCTGAAACCCTTTTGTTATTGTTAAAGAGGTCATATAATGCCATTTTTTACAAGTTAATATGAATGTTTAAGGTCTAAATAAAAACTTTGTAATATACTTTTATTAAAAATTCTCATTAGTATTTTAACCCCCTGGGGACCAAGGTGTATTTGGGGTTCTTGAGAGGTTCTGACATGCCCTGACATGTGTTTTTTTCAGCTGCTTATAAACATATTAATGGCAGAGGTGAAATTACACTATATTTAGCAGAAACAGGGCAACCATGATGTATGGGCAACACGTTTGTACATGTTTGTATTTTTGAGAAAATATTGTTTATGCGTGGTTATTGTAAAAACTAAAAACGAATCGGTTACCTAACGTAACCTCGGTTCTCTCTAGATGAGGGAACGAGTATTGCGTAAGCTAGCTTACGCTACGGGAAAGATTCATCTTTGCTGAGAAGTTGAAGCCAAAAAATTATTCCATAATTTTGTAATCATTGTCAACGCAGTCTCTTCTGAGGCAGACCATGAGCGGGCTAGCTAGCGGCTCATTGGATCGCTCAGAGAGAATGCACGAACCTATGGGAGAGCGGCGCTGAGTCCGCGGCCAATGAGCGGACGGCGCTCGCTTACTGCGTCACAGCCCGCCAAAAGGGGCGTGGCTACAGTGTATAAAGGTCGCTCTCCCAGCTCGTTCGTTGATTCTGTAGCATGAAGCGAAACGCTGGTGGCGCAAGCACGGCCGGGAACGCAATACTCGTTCCCTCATCTAGAGAGAACCGAGGTTACGTTAGGTAACCGATTCGTTCTCTTACGAGAGGTTCTCTCGTATTGCGTAAGCTAGCTTACGCTACGGGAACACCTGGTCAACGCCGTGCGCGCTAAGTAACCACTAAGCATCCCAGGGGAACACCGGGGGAATCTATAAGTGGATGAAGATAATACGGCGGCCAGATAGCGGCCGTTACTATCTAGTGCAAAAACGCCCAAGGCGGCCGGCGAAGGCGGGCCGTGATGTGAAGGCTAATGCATAAGCACATAGGGGAACACAAGGGGTGAAACGGTTGTGATGGAACTCCCGATAGTGCGGCTTCTATAGGAGGGCTGTGAGTACTAGACCGCCAGAATTTTAGCCTGTAAGGCTGGAACTTCCAAGTTGTAAAATCTGACAAAGGTGGAGGGGGAAGCCCATCCCGCAGCCACACAAATGTCGTGGATGGAAATCCCGCAGGACCATGCCCACGATGAGGCCATGCCTCTGGTGGAATGAGCCCTGATGCCCAGAGGGCAAGGCAGGTCTTTAGCGGCATAAGCAGAGGCAATCGCGTCTACTATCCACCTGGATAGGGTCTGTTTCGAGGCGGCTAGTCCCTTGGTGCGGCCACCGAACGACACAAACAGCTGCTCCGAGCGTCTGAACGCGGCAACGCGTGTAGTGTACACTCTGATAGCCCGAACCGGGCAGAGGCGGTGAGCGTCACGTTCGCTATCGGATGCCGGCAGCGCCGATAGAGAGATCACTTGCGCCCTGAAAGGGGTACCAATCGCTTTTGGAACATAACCGTGTCTAGGCTTTAGAATGACTATGGAGTCACTCGGTCCAAACTCTAGGCACGCGGCGCTCGAAGACAGCGCGTGAATGTCCCCCACACGTTTTACTGAGGCGAGAGCCGTCAGAAGAACGGTTTTTAACGAGAGGTATTTTAGCTCCACGGACTCAAGTGGTTCAAACGGTGGGGCTTTCAGAGCTTCTAGAACTATAGAAAGATCCCAGACCGGCACCGTAGGGGGGCGAGGGGGGTTCATCCTTCTGGCTCCCCTGAGGAAGCGGATGATAAGCTCGTCTTTGCCCAGAGACTGGGCGCGCCGGGGTTCAGCGAACGCCGCGACGGCTGCCACGTAAACCTTAAGAGTGGATGGGGACCTGCCCTTATCCAGCATCTCCTGAAGGAACACTAGCAAAGACGAAACCTCGCACGTCCGTGGGTCCAAATTCTTGTCGGTGCACCATTTGGAGAACACAGACCATTTTGCAGCATAGAGCTTTCTGGTAGAATCCGCTCTGGCGTGTTTGATCGTGTTCAAAACCCCTTCTGGCAATTCGACGCGTAGTCGTTGGTCACCCATGCATGAAGCGCCCAGCGCTGTGGATGGGGATGCCAGATCGAGCCGCGGGCTTGAGTGAGGAGATCTGCTCTGATTGGAATGGGCCACGGGGCTGTCTGTGTCCCTGATTCTCTGAATGACCTGCGGTAGCAGAGAAATCGGGGGAAAAGCATAGAGCGGGCGGCGGGGCCAATCCTGGGCTAGCGCGTCCTCGCTCTTTGAAAAGAATATTGGGCAGTGAGCGTTCTCTTCTGACGCGAAAAGATCTATCTCCGCTCTGCCGAATAGGCGCCACAGTGTTTGGACTGTTTGAGTGTGCAGGGACCATTCTCCGGGGGAGACCAGGTTCCTGGACAGCCTGTCTGGACCGTCGTTCAGATGGCCCGGCACGTGCGTCGCTCTGAGCGAAAGCAGGTGACTCTGGGACCACAATAGGATGCGGCGTGTCAGATGAAAGAGATTCTTGGATCTGACGCCGCCCTGACGGTTGATGTATGATACCACGGCCATATTGTCGGAGCGAATCAGGACGTGGTGACCGTTTATGCGCGGGAGGAAGCACAGCAGCGCGTTCTCGACCGCGATCATTTCCAGACAGTTTATGTGTAAGGAACTCTCGTGGCTCGACCACTGGCCGGCGGCCGGTGAGCCCTCGCAAACCGCTCCCCAACCCGAGTTGGATGCGTCTGTCGAGATGACTTTCCGGCGAGAGAATGTTCCCATGGTAACGCCCCTCTGAAACCACTCGCTTGCTGCCCATGGCTGCAGTGCAGTGATACAAGTCTGAGTAATCCTGATCATCTGGCGGCCCGTCGTCCACTCGTGGTGGGATACGCGGCTCTTTAACCAGAATTGAAGGGGGCGCATGTGCAGGAGACCCAGCTGTAGCGCAGCGGAGGCTGAAGCCATATGACCCAGCATCCTCTGAAGCGATTTCAGGGATGTAAGGGTACCCATCTGAAACGAGGCGGCTAGGCGCTGAACACGGCGCGCGCGCTGTGTGGATAAGCGAGCCGTCATCGTGATAGAGTTCAAATCTATTCCGAGGAACGAAATAGTTTGACTGGGCTGGAGAGAGCTCTTTGTCCAGTTGACAGAGAGTCCCAGCGCTTCCAGATGGTTGAGGAGAACTGTGCGGTGCGACAGCAGCTCCGTCTGGGAATCTGCTAGAATCAGCCAGTCGTCCAGATAATTCAGTATGCGCAGCCCCTGACTTCGCAGGGGGGCGAGCGCTGTATCCATGCACTTCGTGAACGTACGGGGTGCTAAGGATAGGCCGAACGGGAGAACGGCATACTGGTAAACTTGGCCCTCGAAGGCGAAACGTAGGAATGGCCTGTGATGAGGGTTTATCTGGATCTGAAAATAGGCGTCTTTCAGGTCTAGAGAGATGAACCAGTCCCCCTGGCGGACGTGCGCGAGGAGTTTCCTGACTGTGAGCATTTTGAACGGTCTCTTCATGAGCGCTTTGTTCAAAGCCCTGAGATCTAAGATCGGCCTGAGGCCGCCGTCTTTCTTGGGGACCAGAAAATAACGGCCGTAAAACCCCGACTCGGTCATAGATGGCGGGACTCTCTCTATAGCGCCCTTCTGCAGTAGCTTGGCTATTTCTAAGCGAAGCGTGTTCATAGCAGCCGGGCTGACAGTGGATTCGAGCCGCACGCGCGAGCGTGGCGGGCGGCGACGAAACTGTAATCGATAACCATTCTTTATTATGCTTAAAACCCACGGGGAGATGCCGGGGATGGCTTCCCACGCTTTGTAGCATACGGCTAGTGGTTGAATGGCGATTTCGCCCTGATTGCTGCACATTGCGGGCTGGACACTGGGTGTGGGCTCGCTTATAATGTGGAAGGCAACGGGACTTACACTCAGAGAGGAGTTTAAGGGCCTTGAGACAGAGCGGGCAGAGGGGGGACACGCGCACGGGCTCGTGGGCGTGCTTATGTTCTCTGCTGCTGGAGCGGAAAGTGCACGCTCCGTGAGAATGGGCTCTGCGAGAGACCCTGGGCATAAAGTGCTTGTGTGTGTACGTGAGCACATGGTTGTGGGCACATTTTTTACACTTGAGGCTTTTATGCTCTTTTTGTGAACTCTCTGGGTAGCCGTGAAAACGGCTTTTAG